GTTTGCTTCCATCATGCTCAGTCTTTACTCTGTAAACCCACTTGTTTTGCAAGGCCTTCTTTCCTTCAAGCAGTTTGGTTAACTCCCAAGTCTTGTTCTTCAACAATGACTCCATCTCGTCTTTCATGGCTAACTCCCACTTGCTCGAGTTTCCATCTTGTAAGGATTCTTCATAAGTTAATGGTTCACCACCATCTGTCAGCAAGATATAATTCAATAGAAATGTGAACCGTTGTGGAGGTTTTATAGTTCTTGAAGACCTACGAACAGTTGGTTCACTTGGCTCTACATTGTCTTGTGTAGTAATGGTGGGTACTGATGTGCTTGAACTTTCTTGTAAAAACTCTTGAGTGGTAACATCAGGAAGCCCTTCTAATCGTATGAATTCAGATTTCTATAGACTCGTATATGAATCAGTTATCTCTAGTTCTGTACTTGATTTGTCTTTGTACAAAACTTTCTCGTTGAAGATCACGTTCCTACTTCTGATAATCTTCTTGTTCTGATCATCCCAAAACCGAAACCCAAATTCTTCATCTCCATAGCCAATAAAGAAACATTTCTTTGATTTGGCATCCAACTTGTTGCGAGCATCAGAGTCTACATGCACATAGAAAACACACCCAAAGACTTTTAGATGAGAAAGTTGTACTTCTTTTCCTCTCCAGACTTCCTCGAGCAGTCTGAACTCCAAAGGAACTGATGGTCCACGGTTGATCAAGTAAACTGTAGTATGAACTGCATCAGCCCAGAATGTTTGAGGTAACCCAGAATGCAACCTCATGCTTCTAACTCGTTCATTGATGGTCCTGTTCATCCGTTCAGCAATGCCATTCTGTTGTGGTGTGCCTGGAACTGTCTTTTCCATTCTGATACCGTTGACAACACAATACTCCTTGAAACCCCCATCAATGTATTCTCCGTCATTATCTAATCGTAAGCATTTCAACTTCAATCCTGATTCAGTCTCAACTATAGGCTTCCATTTCTTGAATGTGTCAAACGCATCAGATTTATTTTTCAGAAAGTAGACCCATACCTTCCTGCGGAAGTCATCAATAAAAGTCACATAGTACCGAGATCCTCCAAGAGAGGCTACTGGAGCTGGTCCCTATAAATGTGTGTGCACTAGTTCTAGCTTTCGTGGTCTTAAGGTCCTGCCAACCTTTAAGAAACTGAGCTTCTTCTATTTTTCGAGAACACAGCTTTCACAAATGTCTAGATCAACATTTTTTTAACTTTGGCAGCTTTCCTTTTGACTAAAGTATTTTCATCCCTTTTTGACTCATATGGTCGAGTCTACAATGCCATAGCTGTGCCTGATTTTCTGCTTCAGTAGAAGCAATTATATCTGCTAATCTTGTGGTCATATACAGGGTGCTAGTTTTCTTTCCACGAGCCAAAACCATTGCTCCCTTTGATACCTTCCACATTCCTCTAGAGAAAAGGATTGAATAGCCACTATCATCAAGTTATCCGACCGAGATCAACTTCTTTTTTAGTTCAGGAACATGCCTTACATTTTGCAAGTTCCATATAGATCCATTCATTATCTTGATTTGCACATCTCCTATATCCACAATATCCAATGGTTGTCCATCGGCCAGATATACTACCCCATAATTTTCAGCAGTATAGTTTTGTATCATTTCATGGTGTGGAGTATAGTGAAATGAAGCTCCAAAATCAAAAACCCAATCATCAATAGGACTATGTACAGCAAGGATCAAAGCATCCTGTACCTCGTCTATAGTGGCATTTGCAGAATCAGCTTCAGGTTTCTTTGGTTTTGTGCAATTCCTCATGAAATGACATGGTTTGCCACAATTCCAGCATTCAACCTGCTTCTTGGGTCCAAACTTGCTTTTACTTCTGTACCTGGATTTTGATCTGCCTTTGGATAAGCCTCTGTCTTGTCTCCTTCCTCGAGTGTTGATGTTGAGAGCTGAATCTGAACTTGAGCTTTCACCCGAGTCTTTCCTTCATACTTCTTCAGCTAAAATCAGGTCTCGGATATCATCATATTTTAATTTGGATTTTCCAACTGAGTTGCTTACGGCTGTTCTCATACCTTCCCAACTGCTTGGAAGTGAAGCTAGCAAAATAAGTGCTCGGATCTCATCATCAAACTCAATTTCAACAGATGACAATTGATTTGTGATGGTGTTGAAATTATTAAGATGTTGTGTAACAGAGGTGCTTTCTATCATCTTCAGGTTGAACAGCTTCTTCATCAAGTGCACTTTGTTATTTGCTGATGACTTCTCATACATCCCAGACAAGGCTTCCATCAATCTTGCTGTGGATTTCTCTTTTGTGACATTATGAGCAACTCTTCTTGATAATGATAGCCAGATAATGCCCAAGACTTGTCTATCAAGAATTTGCCAATCTTCTTCTGACATGTTTTCTGGCTTGCTCCCTAACAGAGGAAGATGAAGTTTCTTCCCATATAGATAGTCTTCAATTTGCATTTTTCAATATCCAAAATCAGTTCCATCAAATTTTTCAATTCCCGCAGCCTTTATTTCATCAGCCATTTTTACTCTTTCTCGGATTTGAATCTTCAAAATTTGACCTTACAGATGTGTCCAGAATGACCAAAAATGCTAGAAACGACACTGAGATCACCCAAATCGGACTTCGGATGGCTCCGTTTTAAACAATCAAACTTTGGGATCACTGGAGGCTGCAGATGAAGCCACGTGGCAGGAGGAATAGTCGCTGCGCCACACCAGATCAAAACCCAGCGATGCTGACGTGGCTTAGTAGACGTGTCGGACACGTAGGCAATGTGGGACCCACCAAAACTGACGTGGCAGTTCCAGGAGATTTTCGGCTGACGTGTCTGTTGACGTGGCAGGTTGACCGGTCAGACTGCTGATGTGGCAGGTGACATGGCTGATGACTGTGCCGAAAGGCTGACGTTGCTGCTGACGTGGCTGGGTCGAGTTGCAGGGAACGACGAGGAAGACGCGTGACGCGCGTTGGTGCGCGTGGATAGTATTGGTGGAGGCACGTGCGGGCATGCAGGACGTCTGATTTTTACCGGGTTTTCACCAGTGGATTCCTCTCGTCGTCCTCTTCACGGTGGTATGTTCAAAAACATGTTTTGAGAACTTTGATTTTTGAGTTTGGATCAAACACCCTCTTTTTCAAGAACTTTCAAGAACAAGCTTTGATACTAGTTGTTAGGACATTCCGGCATTCAAACACACATCAATTTACGTGGTTCGGCAACTTGCCTACTTCACGGAGCTACTGGTTTGTATTAATCAAGCTCAAAAGCAATACAAACAACAAAACAAGGAGGAGGAGAAAAACTTCTCTACTCAACTCAACTCTCACCCTTAGCTCTCTCTATGTTTCTCTCTATTTCGTGCTCTATCTCAGCTATTAATGCACCCTCTATTTATAGCTGAGGAGGGAGACAATTGTTCAACAATGGTGGGCAATATTTTCTTTGGTTAGACACCCATCATTTTACTCTAACCATGTCAACCATGGCCGCCACCAACCATGGCTGCCACCGGCCATTTGTGTCCACACATAACAGGATGGAGTTACGTATTTCAAGAAAAGGTTTTTCTCCCTTAATTGAGAAGCAATAATAATATGAAGTAGGAGACATTGATAGGGAAGATTGATGGGATATATATAAAAATAAAAATTTACTTTAAAATTAATTTTTATTTTTTTAACTAAATATATTTATATCAACTTTATCCATATCTTTTCTACAATAAAATATTAACCAGACATAAGAAAAACAATGATTTAGTCTGGCTTTTCATTTTTTTTTGTAATGTAATAATTTGTAATTGTAATGGTAATCTAAAATAATCTTGAGGTATTATATTTCAAGGTTTTTAAACATATTTAAAAATTTTATGATGATTAAAATAAAATACTGATAAAATAAATTGTAATTTATTATTATTATTATTATACACACTCACTTATATAGTCGTCATGCATGAGAATTTTATGAATTGTTTTACCCTTTATGATTTAAGAAGTTTATTATATTTTATTTAAGATTTTAAATAGAGTTGTTGAACCTATAGCTGACTCAATCTAAGATGTCAGTTATAAATAGATCAAGTTAACCTAAATTTAGTATGACCTTGCACTTTTTTATTTTTGTAATATTGTAATAATTTGTAATTGTAATGTTAATTTAAAATAATATTAAGATATTGTATTATTATGTTTTTTTAAACATATTTAAAGTTTTGATGATGATAAAAATAAAAAACTAATAAAATAAATTGCAATTCATCATACACATGTATAGTCTTCCATGAAAAACGGATGAATCCTTTACCATTTTACAATTTAGGAAGTTTATTATATTTTATGTAGGAGTTAAAGTAAAGTTATCAAATCCAATCAAATGATTGGTTGATTAATATAAGACCGGATAGTAGATGATGAATAAAGTGGGTTAATTTAATTTTTTCAAGGTAAAAATAATATTATTTTAATTTTAAAATATTACCAAGTTTTGATTGGGTTATGTTTTTAGTATTTAATTTTTTATTTTTTGTATAACCTGATTTGAATTAAATTTTATAATTCTAAATATTAGGAGTACGATAACTTTTATTTTTAAATACAATTCAAAATATATTTTATTTAAAAATATTATTTTTCATTGCTTTTGATAATTTTAATATAAAAATTTTAAAAAATTATTTTGATGTTACTGTTTTTTTTCTGTATAACCCAACCTAAACTAGGTTTTATTACTAATATTTAAAAGGGGAGTGACTTTTGTTTTTTTATGTATTTTAAAAATAAATTTTATTTAAAAAATATTAAATTAATATTTTTTTATATTTTTAATATATTACCTCAAAAATAAAAATTATTTTTATATATTTTTAAACTAAAAACAATTTTTATCACAATTCTAATCATAAAACATAATAAATAGGTACCCTATAAAATATAAATACATGACATGAACATCACTGTCTCGTAAGTGCCAAAACCAACCTCCCTCCCTCCCTCCCTCTCCTTTCCAAATCTCAAGACACACCCCCAGAGCACAAGCACAAACACTGAAACACTCCTGAAGAAACGACGATGCTTTTCTCTCTTTCTTCTTCCCTCTATCGCTAAAACTGAAACTGTTCCTCTTCTTCAATCAATCAAACAAAGATGAGTACAGTAGACAAGATGCTGATAAAAGGAATCCGGAGCTTCGACCCGGAAAACAAACACGTCATCACCTTCTTAAAGCCTCTTACTCTCATCGTCGGCCCCAACGGCGCTGGAAAAACCGTAATAATCATCACTATCATTTCCTTTCCTTACTAATTTCCTTTTTTTCTTACAAATATTATTTAGTTTCACAGACGATAATAGAATGCTTGAAAGTTGCATGCACCGGAGAGTTGCCTCCGAATGCTAGGTCTGGTCACAGTTTCATCCATGACCCTAAGGTAACTCTAACTTTTCTCTCTCTGTTTTTTTTTTTTTTTTTTTTTAATTTTGAGAGGACCGGCTGGTTAATTAGTTGATTATCTGTTGTTGTTAGGTTGCCGGTGAAACGGAGACGAAGGGGCAAATTAAGCTGCGGTTTAAGACCGCGGCCGCGAAGGATGTGGTGTGTATTAGGTCGTTTCAGTTGACACAAAAGGCGTCCAAAATGGAGTATAAAGCCATTGAGAGTGTGCTTCAAACGATCAATCCACATACTGGAGAGGTAACATTTCTATGAATTCTTGTTGTTTTGTTAGAATTGAAGGTTTCACGGAGAAGAAATTGATAGTAGCCTGTTAGGGTTCAGATTATTAGTGTAGTTGTGATGCAAATGTATGCGTGTTTTTTTAATTCTATCTTGTGTGAATCTTGATACGGTCGTCACCTTTTTATTCATGGTTGTTGTTGGGATGCAGAAAGTCTGCCTTAGCTATAGATGTGCTGATATGGATCGAGAAATTCCTGCTTTGATGGGTGTCTCGAAGGCCATTCTAGAAAATGTTATATTCGTGCACCAGGATGAAGCGAATTGGCCTCTACAAGATCCTTCCACGTTAAAGAAGAAATTTGATGATATCTTCTCTGCTACTCGGTATTCTTTGAGCTTTTCCCCTGAAATAGTGAGAAAAGATTTTATAGTTATCATCTGTCACTGAGTGTGCTGTTAGCTGCTACAGCCACTTGCTTTTTCGTTGTGGTTAATTGTGTTTAATTGCTTCATTTGTATTCTCTTGCTTTAACTTGCTTTCTTTACTACACTGTATGATGGTCTCAATTATGTGAAATATGCGTTCTAGAAAACGTAAACAAGAAGTCTCTTAGTACCTTATTTAATTTTATCTTCGACTTTGCAAGTTTACTCGTATTTTTCCTGGAAACAGAGAATGAACTTGATATTGTTTTAAAGTTTCATTCTACAGTAAATTGGAAGAGTGAAAGCTACAGTTGAAACACATATTGTTAAATAAATGTCTGTAAGAAATGAGAGTGTAAAGGTCAAAGATTGACATAGAGCTTGAGTATTCAAGTGATGTCTTTCTTGGTGATCAAGAGCATGAAAAGCATCCTATCTATATTTTAAATACCACTTATCAAAACAAAGCTGATGCAAAATGCTAATCTTTGCAAAATAATAGCAGTTAGGGAAATTGTTTTCTGCTATTTGTTGATGTTTTAAGATTGAATGTGTTCATGACATGGATTATATATAAAAGAATGCAAAACATTTTATGCAATACAACATTGAAGCCATGCTCAATTAAACAGATATTTTATCGCATGGTGCCCACTTCATTTCATTTTGGTAAACATTTTGTTGATCCTTAGCAAGAAGCTAATAATACTTTTGCCATGCTCAATTAAACAGATATACAAAAGCCTTGGAGGTCATCAAAAAGCTTCACAAGGATCAAGCTCAAGAGATAAAGACATACAAACTAAAATTAGAGAATCTTCAAACCTTGAAGGATGCTGCTTATAAGGTTGTATTTCTTTTTTCCATCCTTTTCTTCTTATAGCAAGCTGGTTGTATTTATTAGTTTTTCAGGTCTTATTTTTTCTACTTTTTTTATCTACCATGACAATTCTTTTTGGTATTTCATGATGAATTGATAATCTGTCTTGCAAATGATCTTCTGACTGCTAAGAAAGTTGTAATATCATTGTTTAGTTGGAATATAAAGTGTCTCTATTTCAATCCTTCAATATGTCTCTTTCTCATGAAAGGCAGTGGCAACAGTGTATGCTTGCATTCTCTGTCAAACTAGAAGTGAAGAACCAGAGTGTGATCTTGTCTTTACATCAATGAACGAGACCATGGGCGGATTATAATTTCTCTTCTGCATTAGAACATGACATCACTGTTGACATTAAACTATTAGGAATATGATCTATAATGTTTCCTTTTGAAATGCCTTTCGAAAATTCATTTACTTGGCCCGAATAACTGACATGGACAGTGCTTTTCTTTTCTTTTGTTTTGTAGTGTGCTTTCAGCACTTGTTTTTCTTATTATCAATAACCATGTAGGATCCAAAACTCAGATCTTCATTTGCTATTCTAGTGAATTAAATATCATGGGCTGTGGATTTCACTCAATAGTTTGTTAAATTTGAAGCTGTCAGGGTTTTCACTCTATTTTAAGCTTCATGCCATTTAAGCACTTAAGTTTGATCAGGCTTCACCTGTAGAATCACAGCCTGTTGTGATAAGTATAGCTTAAAAGTAACGCTGCCCTGTAGTGTGGATCCTGTGGCTTGGATTGTTTACTTTCAGAGATGAAGCATGGCTTGTAGTAAGATTTCACATTGGAGGAACTGTAGGATTCTGTGCCTTTGTGTTGGTTTTGCTGTCATTTAGGTAAATTTGGATAACCAGGAGTTGTCGGGTTTTTAGCGATCTTTTCTTCTCCAGACAAGTGGTTGGGGTTGGGACAATATTTCTTGCATCCTTGTGGTCTTGTGGCTCAGGAGCTTTTAGGGAGTTTCCCTAGCTGACTTTCAAGAGTATTGAACCATGCTTTATTTTTTTCTTAAGGACTTTCCTTTTCCCTTTGTTTGGAGGATGATTTATTCTCCAATAAGTTTTTGTACGTTCTTTTCTTTAATCAAGCATTTTTCTTCTATAAAGAAAAGGCAAAAGTATTGGATGGAAGCTCATAACTCATTATTTTGATTGAGCTGTCTATTTAAACATTGACTTAGTGCATGTTTCCTTTTCATTTTGCTTGATTGGGCCAAGTGATAGTGTAACACTTAATAAGCATAAAGTTGCTATGAAGCTGCTTCTATGTAGCATTTACTGATGTCAAGTTTTGTTTGTACAGCTTCGGGAAAGCATTGGTCAAGATCAAGAGAAAACAGAAATTTTAAAAGTCCAAAGTCAGGAGTTAGAAAGTAACCTTCAGAATTTGGATGCAAAAATTCATCACACTGAAGTAACTCTGAAAGATATGAGAAAATTACAGGACCAAATAACAATCAAGACTGCTGAAAGAAGCACTTTGTTCAGGGAGCAGCAGAGGCAGTATGCAGCTCTTGCTGAAGAAAATGAAGGTTTGCCATGCATGGGGAACAGCAATATAGTTCTTCTGCATATCTCATAGTCATATACACATATATGTCAAGTCTTACAAGTGTGTGCTTATTACCATGTCTTTAGAACCAATTCCCTGAGCAGTAAAGGAAGATGCTGATTTTCTGAAATCATTCTGTACTTATTTTTCATGTACAATTATCTTTGTTTCAGACACTGATGAAGAACTACAGGAGTGGAAAACCAAGTTTGATGAAAAGATTGCAAGTTTGGAATCGAATATTTGCAAATTGGAGAGGGAAATGAATGACATGGAGACAAAGGGTTCTTTTCTTAAGCAAAACATTAATGAGTATATCCGAGAGATCAGCAGGCTTCAGACTGAAGCGGAGGTAATGCTACTGAAACTATTCACATTTGATAGTTAAAAACTGTGTAATTTATGGCTGAGCTTGCAAATAACTCCCTTTCTTTTGAAAATTAGGCTCATGCATCCTTGAAGAATGAAAGAGATTCCAATATCCAAAAAATGTATACAAGAAATAATCTAGGTCCTCTTCCTAATGCCCCTTTCAGTGATGATGTTGCTGCGAACCTCACAAATAGATTAAAGTCAAGGTTGGTGGATCTTGATAAGGATCTACAAGATAAGAAGGTAACCCCCCCCCCACCCCATTTCCTACCTGTGTGCCTATGTAAAACACAAATTGTATATTCTCAATTTCTGCTCTTCAATTTCTGTTCACTTGAAGACTGAAATTGCGCTCCATGAAATCTTTGAAGCTTTAAGACATGAACTTGATTTATCTGTTATTTCAGACATCGAATGATATTGAAGTTAAGAGAGCAGAGAATTGCTACTGGGATGCCAATGAACGCTGGAAAAATACGGAGGCTCAAAAACAGGCTAAAGTAGAGATAAAGGTGTGCACTATTGGGGGTTTCTAGAAGGGTACATGTTTTATTTCCCAGAGTTGTAAGTTTTATGGGTAACTCTTGATATTGTAACTTTACGCAGAATAGCATTTTAAATCGCATTACAGAGAAGGAAAGGGAGCACTCTTCATTTGAAGAACAAATTTCACATGTTAATCTTTCTCACATTGATGAAAAAGAAAAGAACATGGTGAGGATGTCTTTGCATAAGATGGACCCAAGTTTGCTTATTTTAACTGAAAACAATTGAAAGAGAAGCTCCTTGTGATTTTTTCAGCGAATTGAGGTTGAGAGAAAGACGAATCAGCTAGCTGAAAGAGAATTTGAATCACACATACGACAAAAGCAGAGTGAGCTGTATGGCATAGAGCAACAGATTAAGGTTCTTAATCGAGAGAAAGACATTTTGGCTGGAGATTCTGAGGACAGAGTGAAACTGTCTCTAAAGAAAGTAGAGCTGGAAAACCATAAAAAGAAACATCGAAAAATGTTAGTTAGATCGTTCTTGCCTTGCTTACAGGACCGGGCAATCCATACTCTTTTGTTTCTTCACATTGTCTCTATCCCTCTCTCTCACTTATCCCTCATGGCTATTTTTTCTTTCTTTTTTTTCCTTTTTTTTTTTCCAGAATTGATGAATGCAAGGATAAAATCAGAGGAGTGCTAAAAGGGAGGCTTCCTCCAGATAAAGATTTGAAGAAGGAAATTACTCAGACCCTAAGGTTATTATGTTCTCTTTAATTTGTTCTGTGCTCACAGATAACATCCGTACAAGAATCTGTTTGTGGATTTTATTGATGCTTGTTGGATTCATTTTTGGTTAGCAGAAAATTAAACATGTGATTGCTTGATATTCTATGACTTTTTTTGTTCCTTTCAATTCTTGTCATTTGCCATACTGTAGTATAATTTTTCCCTTATTTGTTATGATTGATAGTGCTTTTACGACCTCCTTCAAGAGTTGTGGCTTTGTATTGAACCCTAGTGAATTATATAAAATTTGAGATTTCAGACCTCTCCTCATAAGATGGTCTTTCAGAGCCTGCTATTGGTTTGTATGTGAGAGTTGCCTGGCAAGCTTTCTGGATGTTTTAACTTTTGTCAACACCTTCTTCAATGAGATATTGACAGGTTGATAGTGCTCCTGCTGCAGGACTCTTGGGCTGGAGTTTGATGACTTGAATATGAAATCCCGTGAAGCTGAGAAGGAGGTAAATGTGTTGCAGATGAAAATACAAGAAGTTAATAATAACCTTTCCAGACATCGCAAGGACATGGACTGTGAGTATTGCTTCACATCTAAAAATGAAGTACTGCTTATGTTTATCCCGTGGATCAGTGAGAAATATTGTTACTAACTGTTGGTCATGCGTTTCCTTGCTCTGTTAAAGAGTCTGATCTGAAATTGTTATTTAGAATTTATCCTCACTGTGGTGGCAGTTGCTATTTGCAGGACTTCTTAGGCTACTTTAGTTTTTTAAGGGTTTGAAGGGTATGTGTGCTTGGTGAGCAAATGGGACTGGATTGTACTGTATGAGAAAGTACCAGGCTTTCACACGAGTGGGTTGACCAAAATTGGGTGCCAGACAAGACAAAAACAAATTGCCTTGTGTGCTCCAAACAACATTACTAGTGGAGTCATTCTGTTCAGTCCTAGTACATATTGCTACCTCAGTTCCCTTTGTTTTATTTATGAATACTTTTGGGGCTAGGATTTTATGGCCGGTATTCTAATCTTTGTTTTAATAACAATTTTTTGGCTTTTCAAGTTCTTTTGAGAACTTTAGGGTTTGGATAGTTTAGAACATTTTCTCTCATAAAGCATAGCCTTCAGTGAAGTGTGCCTCCACTGAATTGTGCTCATGACTGTGATTTAAGAATCCTGGCACTCGGCATTTGCATTTTGCTTTTTCTTTCTTATCATCTCTTTGCTCATGGTACTTAAAACTTGTTTTCTGACCTATTTCTTGACATGTGGACTGGATATAATGTAGCTAGGAAGAGATTTATTGAATCCAAACTCCAGTCCTTGGATCAACTGTCATTTAGTGTTGATTTATATCTCAAAGCATTGGAGTCGTCCAAGGAGAAAAGAGATGTTCAGAAAAGGTTCCTCTTTTTGCTTCCTACATGATATAAACATTATTTGTATGGGCTATTGGGCATGTTGACATATAATTTCTGTGGCTATGAAGATGCTAATATAGGGCATGGTGTATCACATGCAGCAAGTACAATATTGCAGATGGTATGCGACAGATGTTTGATCCTTTTGAACGAGTTGCCCGTGCTCATCATGTGTGCCCTTGCTGTGAACGTCCTTTCTCTGCTGAAGAGGAAGATGAATTTGTTAAAAAGGTTTTTAATATGTAATCCAATCATGCATTGTGCTGTAGTATGCATATCTAATAAGAGTATTATCCTATAGCGATACTCAGATAGCCTGAAACTTGAGAGGGAATGCTGCTTGAGCTTCAGGTATTATTTTCTGAATGTGCTGATCTCTTCTGTGGCATGCAGCAAAGAGTGAAAGCTGCAAGTTCTGCAGAGCATATGAAAGTGTTGTCTATGGAATCTTCAAACGCAGACACTGTTTTTCAGCAGTTGGACAAGCTTCGTATGGTTTATGAAGAATATACCAAAATTGGCAAGGAAACAATTCCTCTTGCTGAGAAAAACTTGAGTGAGCTAACTGAAGAGCTGGAACAAAAGTCTCAAGCCCTTGATGATGTAAGTACAGAATTGCTTCTGGCACTTTTAACTTTCAAATAACTTTTGTCTGCTGAACTGGAATGCTGGACTTGTTATAATGGAGCTGTCTTTGGTTTTTATATGCTATAGCTCAGAATGAGTTTATATGCCACCCACAGGCATCAATAATATACTGTCTGCTCCTGGGAAAGCATGTGAACCATAGTCTCAATCAATTAGTTAATCCTTAAGCAGTGAAAAAAGCTTCTGTTCATGACTCTGTTTTCCTCCCGCTCTATTTGTTATCTTTAGCTTTTAGATGTTAGACTGTATTATGTTGTCAAGAATTTTTAGTGATGATAAGGATAATGCAGTCATGACACTGGAGATCAGTGGTTATAACATGAGGGATTGATATTTTTCAAGTGACAGCATTTCAAGAACAAGAGAAAGTCCCCATGTCATGACTTTCATAGTTTCCCTAGAGGACATTCGTTGAAAGGGCATGACACAAATATAAGCTCAACAAAATCCAGGGTTGACATTGCAGAAATTATTGGAGAACAGTTTCTTGGAAGATGAGGACTGTCTTATATATCTTTTGTTGAAGAAGCAATAGATGTCTCCCTGGATTGAACCTAATTGGATAGAAATCTACAATTGGATTTTGAATTTTCAGCAAAGACACAGGTGTCAGCATGCCTGGACTGCATCATATGGAAGAGCCAAATAGACATAGTTCAATACTGTAGAAATGCAGCTGCCTACACAAAGGTTGCACCTTGCAGAGAAAACTAGCGAAATTAAGTAAATAACCATGCAGCTGACTCAAAATAGGGATTGCAGCCCCATGTGGTTGACTTTATTGTCGTTGGGTTGATAGGGTTATGCTATATATAGCGGGTTGAACTTTATTTTGAAATAGCCCTTCCATAAAAGTTTTTTTCGTTTTTGCAATTTTTCATAATCCTTTTAATATAATTCTTGTATCATTTCCAATTGCATATGGTATCATGGCAGCTAGTGGATAAGAAGGGCCTCGGAACCCAGACGTGCTCTGTTATCGTGGATTTATTATTCTTTAATGTGATATTTGGTGGCTAATCATTGATTTTGCTTGATGATTGTTTAGTTATGAGTATGACAATGCAGAATGGTTTTGCTCATAGGTGTTGGGTGTTTTAGCTCAAGCAAAGGCCGAAAAAGACTCAGTTGAGGCCTTGGTGCAACCTGTTGAAACAGCTGATAGGCTCTTCCAAGAAATTCAGACTTGGCAAAAGCAAGTTGATGATTTAGAATACAAGCTTGATTTTAGAGGGCAAGGTGTTAGAACCATGGAAGAAGTGCAGTCAGAGCTAAGTAGTTTGCAAGGCACAAAGTATAGCAGCTTATCCCTTAATTATCTATTTGATTTTTTGTCGAGCATAATTATCAAGCGTTTTCCAATTAGCGACCACCCACATTATCAAAATACATGTTTTTTTATCATTTTATTTTATTTTTATTTTCAGTTCTAAAGTTGCCTTGTCATTTCAGGATATATCAGTATTTTTTTTCCTTCTTTTTACTTGAGCTTTATCTTTCTCTTGACAGGGATAATTTGCATAATGAAGTGGAGAAGTTAAGGGATGAGCAAAGGTACATGGAAAATGATTTATCACATATTCAAATTCGGTGGCATGCTCTGCGGGAGGAAAAAGTTACAGCAGCTAATATGTTGCGTGATGTTAAAAAGTCAGAAGAAGAGTTAGAACGTTTGGTAGAGGAAAAACATCAAGTTGAGCTGGAAGAGAAGGTTATCTTTATTTTCTTGATTGTTTATAGTCCATGACTGTATATTTTGTAATTTTATCTATGTGATGTGAGATTGCATTGGTGCAAGATTGTCTAGAGTATGCAAGTGTAGGTGTATAAACTTGAGTGTGAACTTTTTAGGTTCAATGTTTTTATTTTAATGATTTTTGTTCAATAAGATAATGAGATTTGAACATTTTTGAAATGCAAATTGCACAAATAGATTTATTTTTATAAGTGAACTTCCTAGGATTCATAATATGATAATAACACGGCGGCAATCCATATTAGCATGTCATGTCAGACTGGAGGATAAGAAGTTGGGGTTAAGACAATGTAAATTTGAAACTGGCATGATAAAGTAATGGTCTTTATGGTAGGAAATATATGTAAGCATATAAGAATATGCAATAAACAATTACCTTTTGGAGTAGGAATTTAAAGGGTGTTTGGGATCACTTAACTCTTGTTTTCTATTTTCATTTAATTTTAAAATCTTGTGACTGTTTTGTTGAGCATCTGTTTTTGTCTGTTTCTAAAGATTTTAGAACTTTTGAAATGACAAAATGTGGATTTCAAAATTTTCTTGATTGGTTTTATGTGTTAACTTTCCATTTCAATTAAGTTTTTCCAGTTTGGTGGTTGATGCTTTGAGAGAATTTGACTGAATGCTTGATGCTGCGAGTTGTGACTTTCTTGGTGTAGTGCAGTAACCTGGAGTCCCTGGCTATATCTTGCTCAGATAATTAGTTTACTAAATGCAGGCATAATATAAAACAATTCCTTTTGCTGTAATATAATTGATTTTCTGTGGTCCCTTTCCAGCATTTGGCAGAGGCTGTTGGTCCTTTATCTAGGGAGAAAGAAAAATTACAGGGTGAACACAATGAGTTGAAAGTCCAACTTGAGCGGGAATACGAGGAACAAAAAAAACAGTTAGACGACTTTAAACAGGAGGTTGACACACTTGTTAGAATTGCATCAAAGATTAGAGAGTAAGTTCTATGAAACTGAGCTTTTCTCGGGTGTTGTTTGTAAAGTCTCTATTTCTTGGTAATCAAAGCCCAAAGATCTATTCACTATCCCATGTTTGACCAGCCAAGCAGACAGAGGACCTTGTATATTTTTACTCTCTTTCCCATTCTTGTTTGTACAAGAATTTCCTATTTCCAATGAAATTGAGGAGGATGATTTTCCTCATTCCATTTGCATTGATCATCAATTCTGTTTTCCAGGTTTTATAATTTAAAGAAAGGTGAAAGATTGAAAGAAATGCAAGAAAAACTATCTTTATCCGAGTCCCAACTTCAAGGTTGTGATGCTAGGAAGCAGGAAATTTTAGCAGAACTCAATGACAGTAAAAATGCAGTGCGAAGTCAAGATAACCTTAGAAGAAGTATTGAGGACAACTTAAATTACAGGAAAATAAAGGCTGAAGTGGAAGAGCTTACCAGGGAGATTGAATCATTGGAAGAGAGAATACTGAAGATTGGTGGGTTTTCCTCATTTGAAGCTGAACTTGCAAAGCTATTACAAGAAAGAGAGAGACTTCTTTCAGAGGTATGTATGAAAAATAATATATCTTTCTTTGAGAGTGATATTTTATGTCCCTGCTGTTGTACCTTCCTTTTCTTATTTGCCATTTTATTTTTAAGCTATTATCTTGGTTAAAAAACAAATCTGTCATAACAAAACTTTATATTGTTGATTTAAATAAGTGTTAGGTTATAGAGTAGATCCAATTGAGACTATTATTGAATAATGCAGTTTTGGTGTTTGATTTGTTTAATGTGTGGTGACTGGGCCTTTTCATGTTGCAACTTTATCTTAATACACTGGATTAATTGTTAGGATACACAATTTGATCTTATTGACGTCTGTTAAGGAATAACACAGTGGTTACGCTTTGGGTTTAGTGTATGGTGGCTATGGACCTTTTCATTTGATAACTTAATTATTCTGGTTATCTGTTTAGGGTTGTGTGAGAACCTGCTGCTTTGTTCCATGGATTAATCATTCAGTTTGTTTGTTACTTCATCTGCCTCTGTATGTTCTTGAGACTGAATTTGCCTTACACATATGAGGAACTTCAAGGAAAAGTAGATTCTCTTTTGATGCAGTCCTAACCTTGGTGGCTTAAACACTGGTATTGCATACTCGAGTGTTGGCTACTAGAGAATTAGGAAATAATGTCTTGAAGTGTTTTATTAGAGATGTTAATGGGTTTGAACATGGGACACCCACTGTTACCATGGACGCTGCCTTCCCTGATAGTGAAAATGTGCAATGATATCTGTATCTTTTAACTCTAAAGTGTTCCATGTATGATGTATCTTATAGGAAAATGGGCTCCTATTTTTTTGTATTTTATTGCAATCGAATGAATTAGGGAGTTAAGGAAACCGATATTCTTGGAGAAAGAGTAATGGTATTTGTTTAGTTGATTAATGTGCCAAGGATTTTTTTTTTTTTTTTTTTGTATACAGCTGAACAGGTTCCGTGGAACAATGTCTGTTTACCAGAACAATATTTCGAAGAATAAAATTGATCTTAAACAGGTGCAATACAAAGATATTGATAAGCGATACTTTGATCAGTTAATCCAGCTAAAGGTGGGACATTTTGCTGATTGCTTGGATGTGTTTTTTGTTACTCATCCCAATCTGTTGTTAACTTGGACATCTTGTTACAGACTACTGAAATGGCAAACAAGGACCTGGACAGATACTACAATGCACTTGACAAGTGAGCTTTTCCAATTAAGTTTTGTATTGCTTTTTGGTTCATTTTGACACCTGTTTCTATTATCAAGGATTAGTACATACTATAATACAATGCATCTGAAAGTCATTTGTGTCCTTGGTGGATATTATATAAGATATCTCTGTACTGCATTCAAAACTCTTCAATTTGATATTATATAAGATGTTCACCTTTCATGTTGGGCTGTTGGCTGCACCTTGCAAGTTCATACATCTGCTTTGATCATACGTCATCATGACTTTTTTCAGTGCCTTGGTTCAATCTTGTATGGCAATGTCTTGTGTTTATAACAATCAATACTTAATGGTTTATGAACTCTCAATGAGAATTTTGCGGCTCTACAATAGCTTGCAAATGCATGTTTCTCATTCCATTTTTTATCTTCAATCATCTCTCTATTTCTCTCTATTTCTGTACCGCTGCTAAAATATGCTGATAGAAAAAAAATTTCTAATGTCTACATGCTTTTGCATGAGCTTCCTAGTGTTTGAAATTATCACATTAAACCAATAATCAATTCTTGATGAAAATTTTCTGCGCATCATGTTGCCATAGGTGGCCCCTTTATAGGTGTCATGTAGCATATTTTACTTACCAAGGGATGAAAAAAAAGTAGCACATGGCCTAAAAAATTGGGGCTTCTAGGCTAGTGCTTTATTTTATTGCTCCTTCTTGATCTGTGGCTCATAAAATTGTGGCATTGCTTCTTTATTGGACATGGTCTCTCTCTGTTTGTTTTATTATAATTGAACTGGATGGCAATTGAACATGGGAATACCTGTTACCCCTCAACTCCCAGACTCGACTCATCTGGTATGTGTTTTTTTTTTAAAAAAAAAACACTCATCTGGTATGTGGGTGAGGGGCATGCTTCGGAGCATTGCTCTCTCTTTTCTGATGTTAAATCCTCTTTAGCTTCAATAGAAGAATGCATACGGGACTTTTTTTCTGCTAGTGTTTTCTTCTTTCTACCGACTAGAATTAATTGTCACTTTGTGTTGTTAGGGCACTCATGCGCTTCCACACAATGAAAATGGAGGAAATTAATAAAATCATACGGGAATTGTGGCAACAAACATACAGAGGACAGGATATAGATTATATTAGCATACATTCAGATTCTGAAGGTGCTGGGACTCGTTCTTACAGCTACAAGGTAAAAAAGTAAAAACAACTCTAAAAACTGTGCTGTGCTTGCTTCTCTCAGTTAATTTTTTTCTGCCCTATGACTGCATATCATTCTTCCATTGCATTCAATGCAGGTTATCATGCAGACAGGAGACGCTGAGCTTGAAATGAGAGGAAGGTGTAGTGCTGGTCAGAAGGTGAGTAATATTCGATTGCTATTTCCCTTCAATTTTTACAATTAGGGAATTGAGAACTTATGGTTCATTCATAGGTCCTTGCTTCACTTATTATTCGGTTGGCTTTAGCCGAGACATTTTGCCTCCACTGTGGAATACTAGCTCTAGATGAACCTACAACAAACTTGGATGGCCCAAATGCTGAGAGTCTTGCTGCAGCTCTCCTTAGGTAAGATCAGAATATGAAGTCCATAGGATAACTACTCACATTTTCCCAGTTTCCGTCAAACTTGGGGGGAGCTTATAGAATTATAATGAGATATCAAACTGGGGGGGAGCTTATAGAATTATAATGAGATATTAACTCGTCTTCCTGTTTTTCATTTTGTCCAGAATCATGGAGGATAGAAAGGGCCAAGAGAATTTTCAACTGATTGTAATCACTCATGATGAGCGATTTGCTCAACTTATTGGTCAACGACAGCATGCAGAGAGATACTATCGAGTTGCAAAAGATGATCAGTATGGCTTTTCAATTTTACTCTGTTGTCTTATGTTACTGGGTCTGACCTGTTTTAGTTTTCCATTTTTTATTAGATTTTATCTCTTGGTAATTTCTATAATTTCTATCATTGGGACTAACTTCTCTTGCTCTCTTTTCAGTCAGCATAGCATAATTGAAGCGCAAGAGATTTTCGACTGACATTTCAAAATGAGGCAGAAACTCCCCTTATCCCATTGAATGCTCTGTTTGAAACGGAAGCAAAACCCATAAACCAGTTGTATGCAAAACTATTGTAATTTTTAATTTAAATACCATTGATCTTCCTCGCAAATACTTTTATTTTTTCCTCCTATTAGTGAAAGCTACAACAGCAATCCGTATTTATCCTCCTGCCTCTGTCTAATCCATGGCTGGGCTGCGGCTTTTCTGATATCCAAGATGGTTTAAGACTTGAGCTGAATGCGTGATCGTCACTCACTTTATCCAGTGATGTAGTGGATTTTGATACCATCTTCTGATATAATGCTGTTTTAGAACGTCATCTAGCATCACCTCTTGCCCCCCTCCTAATTAAACTTTCTAATGAAACTAACAGTCTATACGGACCCCTGCACGAACAAGCAATGGAAGCATGAAGGGAAAGTAAATGAAAGGGCCTGAGAATTTCGTATTTTGCATAATTGCTTTGTAATTAAAGTCAAAATGCACCTAGAGAAGATGACAGAAAGCGATGAACTCGACTCCGACTCCGACTCCGTCTCTTCCAATGGAATGCTCTCGCTGTTAACAGAGCCTTTACCTGCTTTTGAGGCCTATGGCCTGACCCAGTTATAGGCCCTTTGATTTGCCATTGGAGCACATCTTCCAGATATAAGTGGCATAGTCATGGTTGTTGATTCAAAGACACGGAGCCATTTTCCAATTGTTGCTAGCATGAAAGCTTATATAAAGCTATAATTCATTACTTTATTGGTTGGACAATCAAATACATGATAATAATAGAACAGGCCATTGAGAGGATGGAACATTATCAGAACCCATATGACATGACATTCATCCCAGCATGACAAAAGGAACTCATCCCACCATGACCAAAAAGAAAAAAAAAGAGAGAACCAGCATAAAAGTGAAACTAAAATCAAAAGAAGAAATGGAAACTAACTACAAGACCATGAATGGACGAAGAAGAAACTTCTCTTTTCCGGGGCGGAGGGGGGGGGGGGGTTGAAGTTTTCTAAGACCGGAAGCTAATTATAATTGCATAGAAGCAAGGCTTAAATCCTTGTACTTCATCTCAGACATCAGAAACCCACCAAGGCATGACCTGTCGAAGGAGCCTAATCCTTGTACTTCATCTCAGACATCAGAAACCCAGGCATGTCGAAGGAGCCAGAAAACTTTTCAACATCAGCCTTCAGTGCCTCAATGTCCTTGTTGTTCACCAGACCCTTGTTGAAGTCCTTCAAGAGCTTTCCATGCTCCTTTTGGATGCTCAGCGTGATGGTCACAGCACGGTGGAGGAACTCTCCAATCTGTTCGAAATCCTTCTCTACCAAACCTCTTGAAGTCATGGCGGGGGTACCTGCCACCAAAAACTCCAATTAATAATCCGTAAATTGTTCGATGTCATTCATTGTCTAGACAGTAGGGATTAAAACGCCCACATGTTCAAAGAAAAAGAAAGACGTATGTGTTTTAAAAAAAATCCGAGAGAGCAGCCTCTGATTGGCCGAGAAACGGTTGCAAGACCTCACAACTTTACCGAAACAATCAGCACTAGACAACGCATTCTAAGGGGGTGGTTCTTACCAATTCTTACTCCTCCCGGAGCCAAAGCACTGCTGTCACCAAACACGGCATTTTTGTTGACGGTGATGTTTGCAAGGTCACAGAGCTTTTCAACCTTGTTGCCTGCAAGAACATTACTAAAGTATTAGATTTCACATCAGATGAAATCAACACGCATGACCAGCAAAGCCCTCAAACCGAGCAGTTCAATTCTTTTACCTGTCAATCCAAGGGGTCTAAGATCCCACAGAACGAGGTGGTTCTCAGTTCCTTCAGTAACAAGCTTGTATCCCTGGCTCATCAAGTAGTTTCCAAGGGCAACGGCATTTGCCTTGACTTGTTTGGCATAGGCCTTGAACCCAGGGGTTTGGACCTGTTTCAGGGCAACAGCCAGAGCACCAATCTGGTGATTGTGGGGACCACCCTGAAGAGATGGGAAAACAGCAAAGTTGATCTTGTCTTCGAAGTCATATACCGCATTCTCTGGCTGACCCTTCTTTGGTGGTTTGGGGCCCTTGCGATAGAAGATCATACCAGCCCTAGGACCCCTCAAACTTTTGTGGGTAGTGGTGGTGACTATGTCACAGTACTCAAAGGGGTTGGCAGCTTCCTGCAACCAAAAACAGTATAGATTTAGACCAGACATAGACGTTTTACATTGGAATATGATAAAAGAAAAGATGTAACAACGCCAACAGAATTGCTAGATATAATAGTAGAAACTGAAATTCCGCAGCACAATTTAATCTCGAACCATAATCACATGGAATGCCTTTATCGTAAAACAAATTGAATAAAAAAAAGCACGTTCCGTTAGCTTTGATATTTAATGATAAGCTACGAAACATTTAAACATGCATACACATCTCCGGATCAGAGAATTCCACTAACTCAACACAGCTCTAGTCATCTAAATAAACACTATGCTCAAATCTAATTTGTAAACATTAAATTCGATAGAAATGGACTACATGATCCCATTAGGGACATGTTTACTCTAGCATCTACTGCATGCAGGATTAATGCCATGCAAATCAACTAGATTTTAAACTCTGATATTTTGAAAGCTTTCAGTTTACATTTAAAAAAACAACTGCAAAAAAATGACAGACAAGTAAAAACAAGAAATTTGGAACCCAATTGCCAACCAATCTGGCAAATTCACAAAACACATGCAACATCACATTACACAAATCCCAGATCTAGATATCAGAACAAAAGCTTATTTCAGTGACTAAACGAGATCCAGAAGTTAAGGAACACCAGACTCGGGTCAAGTGTTTCAGAACTTATCATCCTCTAAATAATCAAAAAACAAAACACCATCGAATCCAATACTAACAAATCACTGAATAAGAAGCACAGATACAACAACCAAAAGCGAAAAAGCAATATACATATATACCTGAGCAGCGACAAGGCCACTGATGTGAGCCATATCACAAAGCAAAAGGGCACCACACTTATCAGCGACAGATCTAAACCTTTTATAATTCCAATCTCTCGGGTAAGCACTTCCACCACAAATAATAAGCTTAGGCCTAAAATCCAGAGCCTTCTCCTCCAATCTATCATAATCAATATATCCAGTTTGCGAATTCACCTTGTAAGGCAAACTCTCAAAATAAATACTGGTGGCTGAAATCTTCTTGCCCCCAGATGTGTAATACCCGTGAGTCAAATGCCCTCCAGAAGGCAAATCCAACCCCATGATTCTGTCATGGGGCTGAAGAACTGCTGTATAAGCAGCAAAATTTGCAGGAGAACCTGAATATGGCTGAACATTTACACCCCATTTTGTGGCGTCTAAATGAAAAGCTTCAAGAGCCCGAGATCTGCAGAGATTTTCAATCTGATCAATATATTCATTCCCGCCATAGTAGCGGTTTCCTGGCATACCCTCTGAGTACTTATTAGTCAGAGCGCTGCCGAGGGCCTCTATAACGGCGAAAGATGTGAAATTTTCTGAAGCGATGAGCTCGATACCTCTGCATTGCCGGCGTTTTTCCTTCTCGATCAAGTCGTGGATTTCTGGGTCCACTAATTCCAGGGAGGTGTTTCCCCATGCAGTGACTGGATCCATTGGAGGGATATAGAGAGAGAGGGAGAGAGAGAGGGGGAGAGGAACTGCGGTTCGTGGGGCAGAAGAATAAGGTGGGCTGGGGAGTGGCAAGGGGAGATGAGGATCTTGTTGGGTTTAAAAAGGGAAGAGGAGTGGGTGAGGTTATAGAAAATTACAGTTTTGGGGTTATGGATTTATTTAGGTGGTATGAGGTGGCTAGATCGAGAGGAGAGGTGGTGTTCATGCTGCCACATAGAGGAAGGCTTTTTTAGCAAAGAGTGGTGTTGTTTATGTCTTTTGTGAAGGTCAAGTGATTTATGAGTTTTGAAGGTTTGACTATAACTCGATTTGTCGGCCGCGCATCGCCCGCGGGCTGAGCGATCTTTTTTAATATAAATGTTAGGGTGAAAATATTTAAAGTTCATAATTGATAATTTAAATAATATAAAAATAAAAATATAGCAAAAATAAATAAATTAATAAATAAATTAAATAAATTAGATGTTTACCTATATAAATTATCTAACAATATAATATTAATCAAATAAAAAATAAACCACAAGAAAAAATCAAAGTAAAACTTAAGAAAAAACTCGTTTAAAAAAAAACTGAGTAAATTCTGGTGAACTTTTTAAATTTAGTTTAATTTTTAAAAATTTTAATTTATTAAATTATAAATTTAAATTCATGAAAAAGCTTAACTCTTAATTTATTTAATTGTAAATGATAAAATTCTCAAAAAAATATTAATAAAATTTTTTCAAAGGAAAAAGAAAAAACAACAATAAAAAAGAATAAGGATAAAATTTAAGAGAAAAGAAATTTAAGAGGGACAAAATTTAAAAAAATAAAATAAATAATAATTAAAAAATAAGTAATAAATTTTAAAGATTAAAAAATTACATGGATGATATAAAAAGAATGAGTAATAAATTAATTATAACCTATTCTTTTGTTTTTATCTCCATATTTATCAAATTTATCACTCTATATTTGATTTATTTACACCTTTTTTTTAGTATTCATTTTTTTATAATTTATTTTTGTAGTTTTTTTTACATTTTTTTTTTGAAAGATTATTTTACAAAGACTAAAATAAAATAATGTTTTATTGTAATAATTGCAACATTGTCTTATTGTTCTACTATATTAAAAATTAACTTGAAATCTTATGTATCTTTATTAACACATATAATTTTCACTTTATTTTATTACATGTAAGTATTAATTTTTGATTTATAATTATATTTTTTTACTTGATATCAAAAAACACATTAACAACACATATATATTTATTCTTTTATGTTAAAAAATTAATAGATCTACAACAAGACAAGTCAAATAAATACATTAATATTTCTTTTATGTATTTGTTGACATTATTAATTCTTATTTATTTAACTAATGCATAAATAGCTTGTCAATTTATGATTATATTATAATTTTTGTGTGAGAAGCCATTGGAAAAAGCTCCATTTTTTTTTGTCAAAAAAAAACTATATTACTATTTGTTAATTTTTCCAATTATGTCTCACCTAATAAATTTGAATTTGCAATCGGATTTCCGTGGGGATGAAGGGTATCTAGTTAACACAACTGATATTTAATAGTAGTAGAGGATTTATCAAAAGAAAATATTTAATAGTAGAGGACTAAATCTATGTTGAGGGTTGGATTTACATGTTATTAAATGCCTCTCAACTTTATGCTCGTTAGACGATCCATCTTTGGTTTGATTAATGGTGCTCGAGATCAACTGTGCTCTCTCTCTCTCTCTCTCTCTCTCTCTCTCTCTCTCTCTCATCAAGAACTAGAGAACAAATGTGAGAAGTCTTTGCGCAAAAACTTTGTTGGACAAATTATTCCTATTAACATTATTTTTCCAACATCATAGTGGTTTTTTTATTTTATTTTATTATCAAGACAGAACTCTTTAAAACCAACAACCTCAGCCAGAAGCTTTGGACTGGAATCTTTGAATTTTTGCTTTCTTTGCTGAAAATGGAGTCCTACGAGGTAAGAGCACCTATCTCATGCTCCAACGTATCGTTCACAAATTGGTGGAGAGATGACCCGTTTATTTTTATATAATGAGGTTGGTGTTGATGTCTTTTTATATCCTCGTAAAATAGTTTTTAGTTGTCTTTTTAATAATGTTTCCCCACAATCAAAATTAGTTATGTGATATACAGATAATTAATATTATATAAAAAAAATGGCCTTGAAGTGAAAAAGGAAGTAGACTAATTTGTTCTTAAATTTTAGGTTTAATTTCTAACTAAATCTGTGACCAATGCTTCGCTACTGCCGATCAATTATTTTTTTTAAAGTGAAAAGATACTTGAAAAAAATGAGACTTGATTTATCACACTAATTAGTAATTTAAATAATATAAATAAAAAATATAACAACAATGGAAAAATAAAAAAATAAAGAAAAAGGTTAAAAAAATGACATGAGCTCTTCCAAAGTATAAAAAACCAAATGTGAAAAGACAAACTATATATATATATATATATATAAAGCAACATAGAAAACTCACTTAAATTGGATTAACTCTTAAACTATGTAACAATAGACATGGAATTGGGTTCATGGGATTGGACCACTTGAAAAAAAAGAAAAGGAAAGGAAAGCACAAATATTAATTTTCAATGCATTAAATATTAAACAATAAAATTAAAATAATAAATTTAAAAAATACAAAAAAAAATTAACTCACGCTAACTTTTAACATCGGTGACTCTAGTCATGAACTTGAGACTAATCTTATAGAATTCAAACAAAAAAAATAACAAATCAAAAAACTAAAAAAAAGATAAAAAAAAACATCAATTAAAAAAAAAAGCAAATTCGAGCAAACATTTTAAACTTGATTTAATATCTAAAACTCACAACCCGTGACATTCTAAACCCGAGTTGAATCAAGAAACTTAATTCCAACCAATTTAATTTTAAAAGATGAAATCATGAAAAAAATATCAATAAGAAATGGAGATTAAATTTGATAGAAAGAAAAACTCATGGACGATGAAAACGTAAAAAAAGATCTAAAAAATATAAAACGGAAATAAAAAATCAGATTTAAAGAAAGAAAAAAACAAAGAAAATCTAAGCGAATCTTCTAAACTTGAGTAAAGGTCTCAAACATGCAACAACGAGCAATAATTAAAAAGACCCAAGAAAATTGAGGCCATTTAAAATAATAAATAAAAATAATTTAAAATTTTATCTCAAATAAAATAAATAGTAATAAAAAGAATGAGAATTAAATTCAATATAAAAAAAATAAAAGGGGATGAAATAGAAAAAAAATTATAACCTTATAAATTATTTTTAAAAAATCATTTCAAATATTGATGGAAAGTGTCGTGCAAAAAAAATAAATTTAAAGAATTAATAAACAAAATACCCAACAAATAACAATACATAAAACACTCAAGATAATCAGGTCATTTTCCATACCAACAAAAAAATTCCACAAAAAGCAAGCTAACAAAAAGGAAACCAATATTCAATTGAATAAATAGTGAAGGATTAGATGAGAGATTTAATTTTTTTTTTATCTTAGGTGAAGGAGAGAAAAAAATAAACAAACCCGACCAAATATCCTAAACCTAGATAAATCTCAAAAACTTAAAACATGTGAAAACCTTGTTCTGAATCCAATCAAAAAGTTTATTATGAACCATTTTAAAAATATCAATTGCAAAACTTGTCAAAGCAAAAAAAAATTTTAAAAAAATCAAATGAGAGTGAAGAATAAGGATTCTATTTGTTAGGGGAAAAAATCAATAAGTGAAATTATAAGAAAATATCAATTTAAAAAATAATTTCAAACAAAAAAATAGTAATCAAAATAATAGAAAATAAATTTGAAAGATAAAAAAAATTAAGAAGGATGAAATTTAAAATAAATAAAAATTTTATAAATTATTCAAGTAAAAAAAATCATAATAAAAAAAGATACCAAATATGAAAAATCAACAAATAAAAAGGTTTTTTCTTGAATTTTTAAAGGGTTGACATGAAAACCTAAGAGGAAAGAGAGAGAAGAAGGGTGAAGAAGTGGTCATCATTGTTAAACTACCGTGAATATTGAAACACACGCCATCTTATCAAATCGAGGGAGCTAAGATCTTCCACTACTTTGAAAAGCAAAATTTGATGGCTAGACGACGCGGGGGGCTATCAACATACTAGCATGTGGATTGGACACGCCATCAAGTTTTTATTTAGATAATATTTAATATATGTGAATTACTATAATACCTTTGAACAACCTTCAAATTTATAATAAAACTAATGTACAATGACCTAAAAACCTTTATGAAAGAGTTATATTGTTCTTGTCTCCAATATCATCAAAGTAATTAACTATTTTGAAATAAATAAAATGACCAAGACACCTTTGAGTGAAAGGTGTTTAAGGTTGAAGTAATAGTTTTACTTCGAAAAAAAAAAACAAATATAACTCAATACAATATGTTAAGGACAATTACATCATGTCATGGTAAAAACACAATCTTTTCCCCAAAACCTAGTTTAATGATTTTTTTGCAATGATAAAATTATATTTACACCATTATAATGGATAGTAATTTGTGTCTTGTTGCATAGTAACTGCTATAAGAGATTTTTTTTAATAGTATATCCTTAGAAATCTAATTGTTTCTAATATATTATTATATTTTATATCATTCTAGTAGATACTAAATTATTAACCTACATTATTATGTTATGGGTCAAATCAAGTTTTTTAAAATATTAAAAAAAATATTTAAGAGTTGCTAATGTTTTTCTAATAGATAAAAATTTAAATCATATGGGGTTGGGGAATGACTTAATGTGACTTGGCTAACTTTGCGGGTACAAAAACAATCCAAACAATCGATAAAAATATAGTTTAACTAAAAAAAATTAAGATGATATTCTTTTTTATTTAATATTAAGACAATAACATATTGAATCAATTTAGGTCAATATAGGTTCACCTTCCATATACATAATCACGGTCAAAAGACCATGATAACCCTATAGAAAGTAAATCAAAATAAATTATGAAACTTAAGTCTCCATAAACTCAATGTTAAAGGATAGAATTAAAGAAAAAAATCAATTAAAAAAAAACCTTAGTCAATAGTGGTTAACCTGTCA